GGGAAGGAGGGAAGGAGGGAAGATGGGGCACGAGTCAGAAAAAGAGAGACAAAGACAAAAAGAGAGGAAGAAAGAACGTGAGGGAAAAGGAAGAAACTCCCAGTTGATCAGCAGACAAAAGATAGGAAATGAGTGAACATGCCAGCTCATGTCAGCTCTGAGACACCCCTCCCCCTTCTGGGCCCCCTCACAAATTAGAGGCATCCCCTTCTGCTTCTCCCACTCCTTTTCCATCTTTTGCTTCTACTTCTTCTACTCGACAGGGGGTTGATGATAGGATGTTTTTCACCTGATGTTTCTCACTCTCCTGCTGACAACTCTTCTAGTCTTGCTCAACCAGACGGGTGACATTACTAACGGAGGCACAAACGCGTCAGTGTGACATTATGTTCACACTGACTCACTCAGCCTCTCTTGCACAATTTCTCATGTTTTCAAAAAGCAATTTTAAAGGACAGGGCTATGGAACTACATGCACATGGATGCCGAAAATCCAAGAGGTTCAACATACTTGACTCGTGCGCCCTTGAATTAAACAATGTCTCTGTGTGTACCCATCATCACCAGTAGCGTGGTTTATAACCAGGTCAACCGAAGACCTTGTTCCGGTTATCCTGTTCTGTAAATCATCTCAGATCATCTCAGATGTATCTTGACACACCCTTGTGAGTCATTGCCGTGTACTATCAGCTACACTGAGGGATTCCCCAGCTATTAAATGCAACTATGACAGAACCGGCACCTTAATTGCACACACTCTAGGGCTGCTCAATTCATCGTATTTTAATCGCAATTACGATTATGGCTTGCAACGATTACGAAAACAACGTAATCGAAATAAAACGATTATTTTTGTATTATTACTTTTTTTATTGGTTTTTCAGTTGAATTATACTTAAAGTTCAGGGTAATCAACTGTTAAAAACATACTGTTTACATTTTTTTCTCCAATAAATTGATGTTTTCAAAGTAAATGGATAATCGTTTTTAATAATCGTAATAATATCAATTATTGACCCAAATAATCGAGATTATGATTTTTGCCATAATCGAGCAGCCCTAACACACTCCAGAGAAATAGAAACCGTTTTCAGTGTCTCTCCACCTTAAAGTGGACCTATCATGCTATATTTGAATAATATAGTATAGGACCATACCTATATAAGGCATATTTATACTCTTTTTTTTTTTTAAATACCAAACAGATCATGCATTTTAGCCATGCCTCATTTCGCTCAATTTGCACTGTTTTAGCTCTGTTTTTGCAAGGGCAGATTCTGTGAGAACAGCACCATCTACAGGCCTGGCATATGTACTACAGCGTCTCCAGCGCTTTGAAACGGCAATGGCCGTGGCTGTCTCCTCCTGATTGGTGGAGTTGGCCCAATAGCCGTAGTGCCACCGTCCTGACGTCAGGACAGTGTTCAAATCTGGATCAGTTTTTATCAGATCCGTTGCAGCCCCTTTTTTAGAGATTTGGGTATGGAGGAAAATAGAGAGGGTTGTGTTTTCTGACACTTGGTGAGTTCCCTGGAACACCGGGGACACATATTCATGTATAAAAGACGTACAAAAGTGCATTTTGCATGATAGGTCCCCTTTAAGCTGTCAGTTTTGTCTTCGTCTTTGTCACCCGAAACAGATTTCATTTGTATATTTCTGGTACGATGACAGCAGCAGAGTAAAAGACAGACACACAGAGAACCCACAGGCACACATTCAAAAAGCAAACATTTAAACAGCTTGATTGCATGTGGGGAGAGGGGCACGGGGGGCTGCATAAGCCCTGTATTTGCTTAACAGCAGAAATAAGACAACCACTGAGGAAGTGGGATGGAGGGTTTCCAAACAACGGTTGAAAGAGGAGAGGAAGACGCACAAAGATGAGGGAGAGAGACATCACCCCCTTTCATGCTAATTGCAACATCCCTTTATCATGCCTGCACACGCTCATCACACTGCATCCTATGTACTGTATGTGTTATTATACAGAGGTCAGAAGAGTCATATTCACTGAAGAGGAAAGACAAGTGAGAGTGTTTGCAACCAGCTTGTTGTTCCTGATGATGATGAAAGCAATGAATATTATCCTTTTCAGTTATAAAATGTATTGTTTTCTTGGAGAGTGTATGAGCTTTACTTGATTATTTGCATTTATCGTATAGATTGTATCAAGGCTGCAGAATAGTATGTTCACTGTGAATGTGCTTGTTAAAAACGAATCTGCGGTCTACAAAATAATCATCAAACTTTAGGGTTAAGACTTGGTATTTGATTAGGTTAATGTAAATATTGTAGTACTCATGTAGTGCCTCAGTTAGGCTGTTAACTTGAAGGCAGGATGTGTGTAAAAGAGGACACACCTACTTACATCTGCCCTATAGGTGAGCTGACTTAGCCTGAGAGAAATACATCAATCTGGGTCAGTATGTACACACACACCCACACACACACACACACACACACACACACACACACACACACACACACACACACACACACACACACACACCCCACTCAGCCACACACACACACCCACTCAGCCACAGGGCTCACTTAGCAGAGCCCCATCCCCCCTTTCACGCTCACAAACAATATTAGCTTACTGTACACAGACAGAGCACATGGTTGTGTGGATGTACACATATTTGTCCTGAACACACACTTGCACACTTAGTAAATGGACACACACATACACATTAACCTGGATGCGTGCTTTGTTACTGTGTGAGTTAATGCCCCCCCCCCCCCCCTCTTTTCAGAGCCCCTGGGTTTTGCGGAGTCTTTGTCAATGTTGGAAAAAAGTGTGTGCGCACGTACCCACACGCACCAGTTTTTATCTGCCACTATAAATCCTTCACGGATCACTTGCTCAAAACACCCTGCCAATATTCAACTACCTCATGATGGCAACTGAAGCACTGAATTGTAGCAAGAGATAGCATGAAGAAAATATAACAAGGAAGAGAGAGGGGGGGGTGGATTCTTATTCTTCTTTAAATCAAAACAAACACTAATAGCAAATAATTTTAAATCTCAATGACAGGGCTGAGTACAGTTTACCAAAAAGTGCAAACACAGTTTTACAGTTACAATCAAACAGCTTTCAACAGTGAAATATTTTTAAATCTATTAAAACAAGTTACTACAACTTACTTACTAAGACACTCTAAATTGCTCAGAGTGGTCCAGTCCAATAGCCAGACATTTAACAAATTACAGGATTTGTTACAATGTTTTTGTCACCTTGTTGAAGACCATAACTTGTCGTGCCAAAGCAATATCAAACCATACGCGGTAAACACTTGCATGGGTGCTAAATATCGTGTTAATCATTAGGTCCTTATATCAAATCCAGGAATATATAACAAAATGACCTATAAACTAAATGTGTCACAATCAACTGTTCCTATTATCATATCTGCACTGAATTATCTCAAGGAACCATACTAAATATATTTTTGTCTTCTTCAGAAGCATGAAAATAAGGGAGTAGAAACAGAGACCCTCTGCTCTCTGACCTCTCGTGTTTTTTTGGCCGTCTAAAGATGACCCTCTGCTCAGCTGAGACCCAACACCTCCACCAACCTACACACAGATGGTAAACACTTCTGTAGTATTCAGATAGAAGTGCACATTTGTATCTGCTTTTACTTGCAACTTGTCCGTTATCCCTTCTCTCTGCCTACACTCTCTTTCTTATACGCTACTGTTGCTCTCTGCCAAGTCTTCAGTAGCACACTGCCTTTCACTGCTGTTCCCAATGCTTTCAGTAGCTCTCAGGTCTCTCTCTTTGTCTGTCTAGTTTGTCTCTATTCTGCTCTTTAGCTGTATCTCCTATTCTATCCGCTATTAATATTTCCACACAACATAGAGCTCCCCCTCACACACACACACACACACCAGCCTGAAGCCCCACACAAAGTAGGCTAATGTCTTTATCAGATCCAAACCTGTTAGTGTATGATCCCTCTCTCTTCATTTGCATTGTAAAACTATGATGGAATAACCAGAAATGTGTGTGAACTGTCCTGCTGTGTCTTTATAACAAGCATTTGACAAGTCATAGTTACTGTAAGTACCGCCTGAGCTTAAATATCTCAAGTAGTTTTATAATCTTTCCTGTACGTCGTACGTCAAAGAACACAGTCAAATATGCACCCAATAAAGCATGCGTTACTTTGTTGCACTTTGAGCTGTGCAGTTTGTTTAATGGCGGGGAAATGTCAGGTGGTGCCGGCCGGAGGGCTGTTAAGGAATTTTGTTATCACTAATTTACCTCGGGTAGGAAACCAGGCAATGTCCCAGTGAGTGCAGTAATGATTGATAAAGTCCTTTCATCAATGAACACACTGGCCCAAGCAGCATGGCTATTTGAACAAAATGTGTTTTTTTTCTTAGTGCTATCATATTTATATCAATATAAAAATGGTGTGTATGTGAGTGTGTGTGTGTGTGTGTGTGTGTGTGTGTGTGTGGTGTGTGTGTGTGTGTGGTGTGTGTGTGTGTGTGTGTGTGTGTGTGTGTGTGTGTGTGTGTGTGTGTGTGTGTGTGTGTTGGAGAGAGAGAGAGAGAGAGCTGGAAAAAAGAGCCACCACCAAACAGTAGTGTAGTGTACTAGCAAAGGAGAGAAGTCACACACACATATACACAGCTATATTGTGTGAGAAAGCAAATATAATAAGTTAATATACAGACATTAACACACATACACAAATACACACACACACACACACACACACACACACACACACACACACATACTGTATATGGACCATTCACAATGAAAGGCTTGTACCCTTACAACAAGTCAGATGCACACATTTGAACTCCTGGCTATAACTTCTATGTTGTCTTCCTCACACAAACAGTTATTATACATGGTTAACCATTAATCCACACCATGATGCCAGTTATCTTAATCTTCCAGGTTCTTCTCCCATCTCTCTCACTTCCAAAGCTCCCAAAACACCATAAAAACATGAGGTGCATCTCTTTACCTGTGCTTAAGATCCCAGTGTTTCCTGTGTGAGTAACAGTTAATTCCCTGTGTTGGTTAAAACAAAGTCAGCACGTGTCCTCTCCGAGAGCAGACAGGGGAATCCTTGCATCAGTGAGACATCTCCCGGACTCCTGCGAAACGTTTGCCTCTACACACACACACACACACACACACACATTACAGCACATACGCACACATGCTGCCTCTTGCTTGCCTAGCCCAGACTGAAGGCAGAGGAGAGGGTGTGTTTGAGGCTGAGTGTGAGCCCGCCCTCTTCTCTCTCTGCTTTCTCCCCTTCCCTCCAACATGCACTCACCCTCCTCCTTCTTCCCCCCTTTCTCCTCTCTCCTCTCTCTCTCTCTCTCTCTCTCTCTCTCTCTCTCTCTCTCTCTCTCTCCTCTCTCTCCTCTCTCTCTCTCTTCTCTCTCTCTCTCCTCTCTCTCTCTCTCTCGTCTCTCTCTCTCTCTCTCTCTCTCTCTTTTCCCTCTCCAATTTCACCTCCCCCGGCTTGCCAATTGACTGCCGGCATGTGTGCTGGTTCTGTGCCTCGAAGCCTTTAGATGTCCCAGTCCTCTTTTTTAATTTGCTGGCTCTCTTGCCTCAAGTTCTACAAAAAAAACAAAGACACACAGATACAGTGGGCAAGCACAGGCACGCCGATAAGTTTACAGACAAACACCATTCACCGAAAGTACAATTATGGATTAATACAGGCAGATTTGTTTTGAGGAAGAGATACCAGATAATACAAAGCTACACTCTGGAAAGAAGGTAGGAAATGGGATCTTAAAATAAGTAACGTGTAGAATTCTGTGTGCCAGAATAGAGATTTTGTTTTTGTAGAAAGGTGAGAAAGGTGAACAGAGCGGGGCGATGTACAAGACAAACCATCTCACTTTTTGGAAAGCTTCCATGTGAGCAGCTGAAGCTCGTGTTATGTTGCTGCTTCACTCCCGCTTTTTATCCTCCACTCTTTCCTTCACACTCTTATAACCCACTGGGCTTTTTGAAACAGGCTTCAAATAAAGAGAATGAACCCTCAAGTGGCCTTTTTTTTACCCTACATTTCTCAGTAAGAAGACATCACCACCTCCTGTAGGGTTGGAAGATGTCTCTGAAAAGTATAGTGTATCCTTCACTGAGAGCTGCCAGCTTGGTTTCCAACAGCGACCCAGTTTTAAGGCAAGAAAGGATCAAGAAACCCACCAAAACGACTTCTGCAGACCAAATCACTAATAGTATGTTCCAGGCTTTCAAGTATCTGCCAATATGGGACAAAATAATGTCAAGGTTTCATACTGTCACATGTTTGGTTAGCCATTAGCCTTTATTTGTCTACACAAGCAAACATGGGTGCATGTGACAAAGGTAAATACAAACAGTGTCGAGGTTAACACAATTTGGAGGAGTCACACAGAGTTCAAAACAAAGGAAGTGAGGAGAAATAATGATCTGGGCTTCACTATGGCAACTCTAGAAAACGTTGCAGCCCGATAAATGAAGAAATAACCCCAGGCTTTTTCTCCAAGGAAAATTGTTCATTTGCAAATTGAGAAAGTCTTTCAACATCATTTGGTGGTGAAAACTCAACATATGAACTTATAATTAGGTAAAAAAGAGTCCAATAACAAACAACTTCCTTTTTCCCTAATGATAACTTGTCTATTTCCTCTGACAAAACATTTCTTCGGATCATCAAATCCCTTACACAAACTTAGAAAATGTCTTGAAAACAGAAGATTTGATGAGAAAAACAGAGCTGGTTACATAACATGCTGATGATCCCAATTGTCTCTGTCTGCTGCACTCTGAAGCTCTTAAAATATCTGCCGTTTGGAAGTATTTAACATTTATGGAGGCAACAGGACAAAGGGCAGGGAAGGTAACAGATCTACCAAAGAAAAAGGACCTGACGCAGCCTCCACAGGGTAGAGAGGGGAGACAAGCACAACGTCGCTAACAGAAGTGCACACCGGAGCACGGACGGCTTTTTAGCCCCAGGCACACGGTGACATTTCAGCACCTAACTCAATACCACTGCATTGTAATTCTGTACTGAATGTCTGCTTGTATACGTGTACATATGCTGTCCGTCTGGCTGTCTCATAGTTCCTGTCTCATCAGACCCCTTCCCTGCCTTCCTCTCTGTCTCCCCGTTTGTTTCTTTCTGTGTTATCTAACAAATTAGCCTGAAAAGGTTGCGTCCTGCTAGGAGCCGGATGAAACAGGAAATAGCCAATCCAGGAGGATGAACAGCAACAACCAGTTCCCACACGACTGTCCAGACACTGCATTATTGGGCTGTAATGCAATTACCCAAGAAGCAGGGAGGAAATGGTTACTAGTTTGAGGACAACAGAGAGCAAAGGCTATGATGGCATGTTGTCACAAGCAGAGTACAGAGGAGGTAACAACAGCAGGTGGAGGATGTTATGTAAGCAGAGGGGAGGGCTGGAGAAACATCAGGATGGCGGGGATTTCTTTTTGTTAGCTTGTTTTGCTCTGTCTGCACTCATCATTTGGCATGCTGCTTTTGTAATGAGAACACGCTCGTTGTTTGTTCTCAGCTGCGCAGCGATGAGTAAATGCATATCAAAGCCCATTCATCAGTTTTCTGTTAATAAACAGACTATTCGGTAGCAGCGTTGTGAGAGTAGCCGTTTCTGTTCCCCTGTCTTCCTGCACACCTGAGCTGGCCTTTCAGCACAATAAACTCCACCTTTCAATCCTTATCAGATGTTATCGCAGTGCGTGTGTGGTGGTGTGTGTGTGTGTGTGTGTGTGTGTGTGTGTGTGTGTGTGTGTGTGTGTGTGTGTGTGTGTGTGTGTGTGTGTGTGTGTGTGTGTGTGTGTGTGTGTGTGTGGAGGCAATATCAGTTAGGAGCTGAAGGGATGAGACGCAGATTGGTTTCCCATTTCATGCCGTCTGCCTTATCTGTCGCTAAACATATCATATTTAAATTCATGAACATTCTGTATTGAAAAGGGACAAAAAAGATGTGCACATATACACTGTCAGGATGCTCGTTTCCCCCACCCAACCACCCACCTTGCCAGATTTGATAAAATCATCATCACCAGCCATGCGAGAAGAGCTGATGAATAATGTATGTAATGCTGAGCCACAATAGTACATCCCTTCTGGCCTGCTACCTTTCTCTTAGAGTCGCAGAAGCTACCGGTTGCTTAGGGTCGTATCAGCTAATCCCTGTCTAGGACTATTCCCATTCCCATTCCCATTAGCATGGGACAAAACTACATGCACAGAGGAATGTCCTTTAAACTCATGTGTCAAATGCACACATACAGGCACATGAGCACACACCACAGAGGAAAATAAATTGGCCAGGTATATAGGCCACAACTGCGCTCATTAATAGTGACGACAGATGCTTCTGACAGACCCTCAAACTGTAGAATGGGCATCAGGTGTTAGACTGCATGCCTTCATGATGACACAAAGAAACGATGACATGCATCAGATGAAGAGCTGGGATGGACAGCTGGGATGGACAGCTTGGATGTGAGGCTATAGCGAGACCTCAATTACACCGTCACCTACACATTCTCACATACATTCAAACAAACAAGGTTGTTGTTCTCAAGTCTATGCCTGGTTTTCACATTGTCTTTTTTTCTTGACAAACAGCTTATAAAACAGGTATCTAAAGTCTTGAACTTGCTGTACACAAGGCTGCAGGTGTAGGTGTAAGTGATTATTTCTGATTTTATGTTAACTGCTGAGATTTTAATGCAATAATGGCACCGAGGTTAAAAAAACAAGCAGTCAGCGGTCCAGTTATTGTTATTATGTACTAATGAGCCAGTATATTCTTGTGCTTGGGCTGCAAGGTCATCCGGCACACATCTAAACAACATCAACCCAAAGCAATGATTCACATTATTATTCATGTAGGGGAGGGTATCTGTGAATATCAAACAGGAACATTGTATATTGTTTACTTAGGTCAGTCTAACATTGCTGCTCCTCAAACACATGCACTTCAGATCCTCTTTTGTTGTTGCATTAGAAATTGGTTGGATTTGGTTATTTACATCTTTGAAAATGGGTCGTCTGATCTTCACAGACTTCACATTGTCTTGAGAAGTGAATTCAGACGTGTGCAGTCGAGACATCTGAGAGTGTGGGTCATGCTATTAGAGAGGAAGTAGATCCAGTATTGAAAGCATAGACAGTCATTTCACCAGGTAGTCTTACAAACTGATACCAAAGACTGCAACATTTACATTCAATTGTGTTTTGCTAATAGATGAAAATGATCAATGACAACCTCAGTTCATCAAGGTTTTTACATTTGTCATTATACACACATTGGTCAGTTTAGACTATAATCATGTGATATATATATTGATGTTATTATGTCTCATGTGATGTGTGTGATAAACACCATGACTGAGCCCCAAAGTAGAGTTTGAACCTTGTTTAACGTCAGGTCAGTGGTTGTTTATCACAAGACAATGGGCCAGACAGACCCTTTTTATTACAGGCAGTGCACCCCCACCGGTGTTCTCACTTATTGAGGGTGATTAGACCTCGGCTCAGGTTGAAGGTGAGCAGAGCTATGCTGAGAATGACAAGAAGACAATTGACTTCACTGATAAGAATCATAAAAGTAATTGTTGTTGCTCTAACTGGTCCAACGGAGCTAGGAGGAGAGGCAACATCATTACAAACACCTGTGTGTGTTTAACATGGGTGTGCAGGGGCCATATGACTCAAACATTTTTAAAATATATATAAGAAAAATAAGAAAACCTTAGAACTACCTTTGATAAACAATAACCACATCAAAATCAACAAAAAGAGAAGTTGGCGAGCTTACGCTTATTTACTTTCATTCAAAGAGTTAGATGAAGACATTGATACAACTAACTTATATGTATGTAAGCAGAACACAAAGCTAGAACCAGTAGCCAGCTAACTTAGCTTAGCATGAGGACTGGAAAGGGAGAGAAACAGCTGTCAAAGGGTGACAAAATCCAATTTCAAGCGCCTTTAAAGCTCACTTATTAACACAATGTGTCCCGTTTGTTTATCCATATAAAAAAGCAATCACCATAGGGAATTAGGGACTTTTTTTTCTTCTGGATAGTTGCAAGGCAGCCAGTGAAGGATCCAGAATGTTACCGGTCCCCACCAAGAAATAGTCTGGTAAAACACCCCTTATCCAATCAAATCTGTACGTAACAATGTT